CCCTTATCTTCTATTTATCATACAAAAAAATATATATATATATATATATATATATATATATATATACACACATATATATATTTATATGTATGGAAGATAAATAGAAGATAAGGGTTATTTTCGTAAAGTTTATTATGCAGATTCAAGTAGTTACCATCTCCAATGTTAAGAGTAGCTTCTTCTTGGTATGAAAGATGGTGAGAGACATTTTCACAAAGGGAAATTTATGCTCTATTTTTAGGCAGAAAGGGAGGGTAGATATTCCTCCTGTGTCTGCTCTTTCTTAATTGCTATTAGTTCAAAATAATGCTTATGTCAAAGTGGCATGTCTTGGAGTGGCATATTCTGTTACTCTTCAACCCTTATCAGATATATAATTTGCAAATATTTTCTCCCATTTTATAGGTTGTGTTTTCACTTTTATAGAACACAAAACTTTTACATTAAAAAAAAAACCACTGTAACCAGGCTCGGTGACTCAGCCTGTAATCCTGCACTTTGGGAGGTTAAGGTGAGTGGATTGCCTGAGCCCGCGGGTTCGAGACCTGCTCGGGCAACTTGGCGAGACCTCATCTCTACAATAAATCAAAAATGAGCTGGGCGTGGTAGCGCACACCTGTAGTTCCAGCTACTTGGAATGCTGAGCGGAAGGATCGCCAGAGCCCAGCAGGTCGAGGCTGCGGGGGCCAGGAATGGCCACTGCACTCCAGTCTGGGCGACGGAGTGAGACTACAACTCAAAAAAAAAAAAAAATGCTGTAGATATGAGATCTTGCTGTGTCACCTAGGCTGTTCCTAAACTCGTGGGTTCAAACAATCCCCTTACCTTGGCCTCCCGAAGTGCTGGGATTACAGATGTGAGCCACTACTCCCAGCCAAAAGTTTTACTTTTTTTTTTTTGAGTTGGAGTCCCTTCTGTCGCCCAGACTGGAGTGCAGTGGCCGCTCCCAGTCACCGCAGCCTCGACCCACTGGGCTCCAGCGATCCTTCTGCCTCAGTCTTCCGAGTAGCCAGAATTACAGACACACACTACCATTCCCGGCTGATTTTTTGATTTATTGTAGAGATAACGTCTCTCCAAGTTGCCCAGGTGAGTGTCGAACCCGTGGGCTCAGGCAATCCACTCACCTCGGCCTCCCAAAATGTTGGGATTATAGGCTGAGCCACCAAACCTGGTCAAGTTTTACATTTTTTACAAACCGTATTTATCTATTTTTTTCTCTGGTGGATTGTGCTTTGGGTGTTTTGTTTGTTTGTTTGTTTTTGAGACAGGGTCTCATTCTGTTGTCCAGGCTGGAGTGTAGTAATTATGACTCACTGCAGCCTCAACCTTCTGGGCTCAGGTGATCTTCCTACTTCGGCCTCCCTAGTAGCTGGGACTACAGGTACATGCCTCCACACCTGGCTATTGTTGTTGTTGCTGTTTTATAGAGACAAGTTCCTGCTATGTTGTCTCGGCTGATCTCAAACTCCTGGGTTTAAGCAGTCCTCCTGCCTCGGCCTCCTTGAGTGCTGGGATGACAGGTGTGAGCCACTGTGCCCTGTCTTTAGGCGTTACATTTAAGAAACCATTGCCGGTCCGAGTGGAGTGAGCAAGCTGAGTGGTTTATGGTCGGGTCTCAGAAACCAGTAGCGCTTGCAGCATGACTGACCAACTGACCGGAGAGCAGATTGCAGAATTCAAAGAGGCGTTTTCACTATTTGACAAGGATAGTGATGGAACTATAACAACAAAGAAATCGGGAATGCTAATGAGGTCTCTTGGGCAGAATCCCACAGAAGCAGAGTTACAGGTCATGATTAATGAAGTAGATGCTGATGGTAACATAACAATTGACTTCTCTGAACTTCTGACAACGATGGCAAGAAAAATGAGAGATACAGACAGTGAAGAAGAAATTAGAGAAGCATTCCGTGTGTTTGGTAAGGATGGCAATGGCTATATTTGTGCAGCAGAGCCTCACCGTGTGATGACAAACCTTGGGGGGAAGTTAGTAGATGAAGAGGTTGATGAAATGGTCAAGGTTGATGAAACAATCAAGGAAGCAGATTTTTTTTTTGAGTCCGTCACCCAGGTTGAAGTGCAGTGGCACTCTCACGGCCACCCTAGTGTCGACCTACTGGGCTGCGATGATCTTCCGCCTCAGCCTTCCAAGTAGGCTAATTTTTGATTTGTTGTAGAGACGAGGTCTCACCAAGTTGCCCGGGCTGGTCTCGAACCCGCAGGCTCAGGCAATCTACTCACCCTGGCCTCCCAAAGTGCTGGGATTATAGGCTGAGCCACCTAGCCCAGGCAGGAAGCAGATATTGATTTGATGGTCCAGTAAACTATGCAGAGTTTGTACAAATGATGACAGCAAAGTGAAGACATTGTATAGAATCTGTTAAATTTCTTACAAAATTGTTTATTTGCCTTTTCTTTGTTTGCAACTTATCTGTAAAAGGTTTCTACCTACTGTCAAAAAATATGCACGGATAGTAATTACGATGTCATTTCTCCATATTTTCTCCCTTACTGTCATTGTCCTGAAACCGTATTTTAGAAAATTGATCAAGGAACATGTTGCATGTGCCTTACTCTGGATATGTCTAAGTCCTTCTGCACATCTAAAATTATGGAGTTGGTCAAATGAGGGAACGTCTGGGTTATGCCTTTTTTTAAAGTAGTTTTTTTTTTTTTTTTAAGTTTAATGTATTACTTACTGAGCTTTAAAAAGATTTCTTTCTTTTTTTTTTTTTTTTTTTTGAGTTGGAGTCTCACTCTGTCGCCCAGACTGGAGTGCAGTGGCCGCTCCCAGTCACCGCAGCCTCGACCTGCTGGGCTCCAGCGATCCTTCCACCTCAGCCTTCCGAGTAGCCGGAATTACAGGCATGCGCCACCACGCCCGGCTGATTTTTTGATTTATTGAAAAGATGAGGTCTCGCTGCCCCGGCGGGTCTCGAACCCGCGGGCTCAGGCAATCCTCTCACCTCAACCTCCCAAAGGCGTGGGATTACAGGCTGAGCCACCGAGCCTGGCTAAAGTAGTTTTCTTTAGGAGCTGTCAGCATGGTGGTGCTGAAGGATGGAGTTGTAACTCTGCATGGACTATGGACAGTCAACAATATGTACTTAAAAGTTGTTCTAGGCCGGGCACAGTGGCTCAAGTCTGTAATCCCAGCACTTTGGGAGGCTGAGGTGAGACAGGAGTGCCTGAGCCCACGGGTTTGAGACCAGCCTGGGCAACTTGGCAATACCTCATCTCTACAGTAAATCGAAAAATTATCCAGGTGTGGTAGTGCATGCCTATAGTTCCGGCTACTGGGAAGGCTGAGGCAGAAGGATTGCCTGAGCCCAGCAGCTCCACGCTGGGGTGACTGTGAATATGCGTGCCACTGCACTCCAGCCTGGGCGATAGAGTGAGACTCAAACTGAAAAAAAAAAAAAAAGTTGTACTATTGCAAAATGTGTGTATTATCCAGGTACTCATACACTATTTTTTTGTACTGCTGGTCCTGTACCAGAAACATTTTCTTTTATTGTTACTTGTTTTTTAAACTTTGTTTAACCACTTAAAGAAAATCTACTAGATTTTCTTTAAGGTGCAGTGGCTCACACCTGTCTTCCCAGCACTTTGGGAGACCAAGGCCAGAGGATTGTCTGAACCCAGGGGTTCAACTTGGCAAGACCTTGTCTCTACAATAAATAAAAATAATTAGCCAGCATAGTGGTGCACACCTGGAGTTCCAGCTACTTGGAAGGCTGAGGTGGAAGGATCACCTGAGCCGAGCAGGTCGAGGCTGCAGTAGCCATGAGCGTGCCACTGCACTCCAGCCTGGGTGGCAGAATGAGACTCTGACTCAAAAATAGAAATTATAATTTACTGCCACCCCCACTCCCCAAAAGGAAAAAAGAAACCATTACCTAATGTAAGTAATGGTTTCTTTTTTCTTACTAATGTAAGGTAATGAAGATTTATGCCCCTGCAAGGTTATGAAGATCTATGCCTATGCATACTCTAAGAGTATTAAAGATTTAGTTCTGACAATTAGATATTTAATGCATTTTGAGTTATTGTCATTTGGCATAAAGTGAATATCCAACTTCATTATTTTGCATGTGGATACCAGTTGTCCCAGTATTATTTGAATTAGACTGTACTTTCACCATTGAAGTGAAAACTTTGGCAACCTTGTCAAAGACCAAATGGCCATTAATGTGAGAGTTTATTTCTGGGCTCCCAATTCTATTCCATTGATCTACCTGTCTATTCTTATGTTCATACCAAACTGTCTCCATTACTGTAACTTTGTAGTGACCTCTTCTGAAATTAAGACATATGTATCCTCTAAGTTTGTGCTATTCTGGTTGCCTTTTGAATTTTCATGTAATTTTAGGATTCACTTGTCAATATCTGCAAATAAACCAGTTGGGTTTGATATGAATTACATAAAAATCTTTAGATCAATTTAGGAGATATTGCCATTTTAACAACAATGTTAAGTCTTCTGGTCCATGAACATGAAACGTCTTTCCATTTGTTTCTTTAATTTATTTCAACATATTTTGTAATTTCATAGTATATGTCTTGCACTTCTTTGGTTTATTCCTAAGTGTTTTATTCTTTTTATGATAGTGTAAGTGGAATTGTTGTCTTAGTTTCATTTTCAGATTGCTTGTTACTAGTGTACAGAAATGCAAATAATTTTTTGATTCCTTCCTTTCCAGTCTGGAGGCCTGGAAGATTATTTTTTTCTGCTTAATCACCCTGGCTAGAATCTTTAGGACAATTTTAGCTAAGAATATTAGGAATGGATATCCCTCTCTTGTTCCTGGTCTTAAGGGGCGAGTAGTCAGTCAGTCCCTCATCATTGAGTATGGTGGTAGCTGTAGGTTTTTTGTTGACCTTTATCCATTTAAGGAAGTTATTTCCTTGCCTATTTTGTTGACTGTTTTTATTAAGAAAGGGTGTTGGATTTTGTCAAATGTTTTTCTGCATCTATTGAGATGATCATAGGGTTTGTTTTTATACTATTACTATAATACATGATATTCATTTATTTTGTCTGTCGAATCAACCTTGCATTCCTTGCTTAAGCCTACTTATTTATGTTGTATAATCCTTTTTATATGCAGCTTGCTAATAGTGCTAGTATCTTGGTATCATAAAATGAGTAGAAAAATATTCCCATCTCTGAGATTTTTTTACAAGATTTTGTGAAGGATTGGTATTAAATATTCTTTATTATTCAGGAGAATTCCCTAGTGAAGTCATCTCGTTCTGGGATCTTATTTGCAAAAAGATTTTTTTTTTTTTTTTTGAGTTGGAGTCTCACTCTGTCGCCCAGACTGGAGTGTAGTGGCCACTCCCAGCCACCGCAGCCTGGACCTGTTGGGCTCCCGTGATCCTTCCGCCTCAGCCTTCCAAGTAGCCAGAATTACAGGCACGCACTACCACGCCCGGCTGATTTTTTGATTTATTGTAGAGATGAGGTCTCGCTGCCCAGGCGGGTCTCGAACCCGCGGGCTCAGGCAATCCACTCACCTCAGCCTCCCAAAGGCACGGGATTACAGGCTGAGACACAGAGCCCGGCTGAGATTTTTTAATTTATTAATCCATTTGTCTACTTGTTATAGGTCTATTCAGATTGTCTATTTTCGAGTCAGATTGATAGTTTGGGTCTCTCTGTAAATGTGTTCATTCCATCTAGGTTTGTTGGCATACAATTGTTCATAGTATTCCCTCATAATCCTTTTTTATTTCTGTGAGTTTGGTAATACTATCACCTCTTTCATTTCTGATTTTACTACTTTGAATCGTTTTCTTTTTCGGTCAGTCTGGCTAAATGTTGTCAACTTTGTTGATCTTTTCAAAGAACCAACTGCTGTTTTTATTTTTAAAATTTTTCTTCTGTTTTCTGTTTTATTTTTTTCTGTTGTAATTATTATTATTGTTGTTATTATTTTGAGTTGGGGTCTCACTCTGTCACCCAGACTGGAGTGCAGTGGCCGCCACCACAGCCTCGAACTGCTGGGCTCCGGTGATCCTTCCACCTCAGCCTTCCGAGTAGCCAGAATTACAGGCACGCGCTACCACGCCCAGCTGATTTTTGATTTATTGTAGAGATGAGGTCTCATCAAATTGCCCAGGTGGGTCTCAAACCTGCGGGCTCAGGCAATCCACTCACCTCAGCCTCCCAAAGTGCATTATTACAGACTGCGCCACCAAGCCCGGCTGTAATTATTATTTCCTTCCATTTATTTGCTTGCTTTGGGCTTAGTTTGCTCCTCTTTTTCTACTTTCTTAAGGTGGAAAGGTAGGTTATTGATTTAAGATATTTTCTCACCAGACACAGTGACTTACACCTGTAATCCCAGCACTTTGGGAAGCAGAGGCAACAGGATTGCCTGAGCTCGAGGCGTTTGAGACCAGCCTGGGCAACTGGGCAAGACCTCATCTCTACAATAAATCAAAAAATTAGCTGGGTGTGGTGGTGTGTGCCTGTAGTTCCAGCTACTTGGAAGGCTGAGGCAGAAGGATCACTGAGTCTAGCAGGTTGAGGCTGTGGTGGCAATGATTATGCCACTGCACTCCAACTCCAGCCTGGGCAACAGAGTGAGATTTCTACTTAATCTATTAAAAAAAAAAGTGTGTATATATACAAAATTTGTTACTAGAGATAAAGAAGGAGATTTTATGATGACAAAATGGTCACTGCAACAAGAAGATATAACAGTAAAATTATATGCACCTAAAAAGAAAGCCTAAAATTCATAAAGTAAAACATTGTCAGAATTTAAGAGAAAAACAGAACATTAATAATCATTGAAATGTCTATGGCTCACTTCAGTAATAGACAGAACAACTAGACAGAAGATCACCAAGGAAACAGAAGATATGGACAACACCATAAACGAACTTGACATGAGGGACATCTCTAGAACACCCAACAAAAGTAGAATTCACATTCTTCTCAAGTGAATATGGAATATTCTTCAAGACAGTTCAGATGTTAGGCCATAAAAAAGTCTCAAAAAATTTAAAACGATTGAAATTATACAAAGTATGTTCTCTGACCACAATAAGATAAAATTAAAAATCAATAATAGAAGAATTGAAGGGAAATTGCATACATATTGGAAATAAAACAGCACATTCCTAAACATGGTGAGACACTGTCTCTAAAAAATAAAAAAAATAGGCTGGCTCGGTGGCTCAGTTTGTAATCCCAGCACTTTGGAAGGCTAAGGCGAGTGGATTGCCTGAGCCTGAGAGTTCAAGACCAGCCTGGGCAACTTGGTGAGACCTCATCTCTACAATAGATAAAAAATTAGCCAGGCGCAGTACCTCGCACCTGTAGTTCCAGCTACCTGGAAGACTGAGGT